ATCTATCTATCTATCTATCATCTATCTATCTATCTATCTATCTATCTATCTATCTATCTATCTATCTATCTATCTATCTATCTATCTATCTATCTTGACCCAAAACGTCTAAAGAATTATAAATCTAGACATGTTTATAAACATGTTGACTGCACTTTGGTCTAATCAGCAGCCTTCTAAAAAGTTCTGTTACACACAAATAACTTCACAGCTAAGAGAACAATTGCACAAAACAAAACTATTAAACAACTTATGTGTTGTTTTTAGTGGAATTTGTAATTTTTTTAGGCCAGTTTAAAAAGCCACATTTTTGATGGGGGCCCTCAGCGCCTCTCATGGAAATTTTAGAACTGCCCCTGCTCCACACTTCATCTACTCACCATCARTCACTCTGCTTCATTCTTCTACCTTTATTGGTCAGTACAGATATTAATGAGGATTAGCCATAAAAGATTCACTTGCATCAAAAAACGAGGACTTCAGAGGAACGCAGAAGCAAAGTGTCAAGATTGGCTAAATAAAATAGTGGATCCAAAACAATTCTTCAAAATAAAACGTTTCCGCGCCTAAATAGCTCTTTTTTAAAATAGCAAAATTTAAAAACAACTTACACTGAATCAAAAGAAACTGCCATCAAACATTCAGTCATCTAAATAAGGGAAGAATCTTATATTTTTGCGGCCCTTGACTACACTTCCCCACTTCTAATCTGGCTCGTGTCTTTTATTTTGAAAGAAAACATCCCAGTTTCCGTGTGAGTCTGGCTCAACCTGTGCGTCTCTGACGCATGTGTTTGACACAGAAAAGGGGGCAGAGTGAGAGAGGGAGAGACTGGTGTTTTTTCTTCTTCCTGCACTTTGGAAATTTGCACTCGTGCGGTCGCGCTCACCTGCTGGAGCTGTGAGCTGCTGCTTTCACTGGATAATCTGAGCTCATCATTTCTTTCATTCACACCCGGGCATGATGCGCTTCCCTTTTCCTGTAATGTGAAAGTGATCGGCTGCAGGTGTTTGCGCGCTCTGATTTGCGCCAGCCAGGACTGGCAATATGTAATTATTTCGGGGGTGGACAGACGCCGCTTTCTTTTCTTTTCTTTTTTCTTATTTTTTTACCTGGAGAAGTACAGTGGACCTATCCCTGCTGGAATTCCCTCCTTCGTTGAACCAGTCTCTGCTTTAGTTTGAGGACCAGAACAGACTGAAATACAGTGATGGTCCGGGCTGAGCCGAACTAAAAGAAAAAGAAAAAAGTGGATTCTGTTTGGAGACTGCTGTTGGTAAGTTTAAATGATAATTATCTTTTTATTTTTAATTTTATTTTTGGCACAGAAGTCGATCTGCCCTCTGTGAATATATTGGACTCAGTTCAACATTGGTGTATTTTTTATATGCACACAAATAAAGGCATTAATACATGGATCAGTGGTGCGCTTACAGACGCAGAAACGCATCTCCACCATCGTTACGCAGG